TCTGGGATGGGGGGAGGGCGAAGAGGCACCTCAAACTCCACCTGTCCCAATCTGAGCTCCTGATCTTACCCTGAACCCTCGCCCCTACTTTCTGCAGCGCAGGCAGGGGCAGCTCCATCTCTGGGATGGGGGGAGGGCGAAGAGGCACCTCAAACTCCACCTGTCCCAATCTGAGCTCCTCATCTTACCCTGAACCCTCGCCCCTACTTTCTGCAGCGCAGGCAGGGGCAGCTCCACCTTTCAGGCTGTTGAGGCCAGAAAGCGAGTCACATTGGAACCTGGCCTCTCTCTCACCCCACCTCTGATCCTTTTAAAACATTTCCAGAATCCAACCACTTCTCCCTGCTCCACATCCTCTCCCTGATTCCAACCGTTGCCTGAACTATTCCATCTGCCTCCTTTCTTTTACCTGCTCCCCCCAGGTACCCAACACTCTGTCCCCTACATGAAGCCACGGGGATGCTGTTAACACTTGAGTCAGACCAGAGGCCTCCTTACCTCACAACCCTTCCCCAAATCCCACCTCTTTCTCAGTAAAAGCTAAAGTCTTCACAGTGACCCACAAGGCCATACAGGGCCTGTCCCCCCTTAACTCTCTGACCTCACCTCTCACTCTCCTCTGGCTCCCTCCTCTCCAGCCACACTGGCCATTGGCCTCCCTATTCTTTCTTAATAAGACTCAGGGTATTTCTACATCTGGACTTTGCATCTGTTGCTCCCTCTGCCTGGAAGATTCTTCCATCGTATAAGACTCCTCCTTCCTTCCAGCAAGTCTCTGCTCCAAAATCTCCTCCTCAGTGAGGCCTGTCCTCCCCACTTAAAATTACAGCCCCACCCCATACACACATGCACTACCCATTCTCCTTTCTTGTTTCTTTTTTCTAGGATCTAACGCCATCTGAGATACTATATATTTATTTTGTACTGTCTGTCTCTCACTATTATACTGCACTGTCTAGAAGGGAAGGGACCTGTCTGCTTTGTTCTCTGCTGTGTCCCAGACCCTAGAACAGGGCCTGACACGAAGTAGGCGTTCAGTAAAGTTTTGTTAACTGGATAGATGATGGACGGGTGTAAAGAGGGATGGGTGGATGGATGAATAGATGGACAGAAGAATGGATGAGTGAATTGACAGGTGGATAGAGGAATGGATAAAGGGATGAAAGGAGGGATGGATAGCTAGATGGAGGAACGAGTGAACAGATGGAGGGATGGGTGGATAATGAATGGAAGGATGGTTGCATGGGAGGATGGTGAAGGAATGGATTGATAAATGGGTGGATGGCTGGACACAGCATGGGCTTAAATGGATGAGGGTAAGACGAGGGACTGGCCTAGACAGGGCCAAGAGTTGAGCAGTTACCCTCCTGCCCCCTCACCTGGACTTGCTGCCCTCGTTCCAGGATCACATGAGTCTTCAGTCCCGGGCTGCTGGGCTCCACCTCCACATGGTTCAAGAAGGACACATGCTGGCTGCAGAAATTTCTGTTGGAAGCCTCCATGCTGAAAGAGAAGCCTCCAGAGATGGGGTCCGGCCCACAGGAATGGGCCAGGTGATAGATGCAGGTGTGTTGGAAATGGGCTACGGCCCCACCGAAGGTGAAGTAATGAGGGTCTCCGGTGGCCACGCAGGTGCCCAAGGGGCTCTGACAGTCCAGTAGGCCACTCTGCAGACCAGAGATCTCCCCAACAGGGCAGCATGCTGGGCTGCAGCAGAAATGCCCAGGTTTGTCACAGCTGCAGCAGCGGGTGCATCGCTTCAGCCAGACCCGGTCTCCCACCTAAGGAGAGAGGCCAGATCAGCATCCCCTGCCCAGCCCGGGCAGACCTGAACAGGACACACTGGACTCCTGAGGCCGACCTGGCAGCTGAACCCAAAAGAGCTGAGTCTGAGGGGCTGTCTCAGTGTGAGGACACGCATGAATGCGATGCTCAGAGTCAACAATGGGGGCCACACCCCCACGGCAGGCCCACCACCCTACCCAGAGGGCAGCAAGCTTGTGAAACCTGAGTTCCCTCAGTGGAAGCACACAACCCAGTGGCTAAAAGCACAGATTTGGGGTCAAAGAGACCTGAAGTCCAGACCTGGCCCTGTCCCTTTAGAGGTCTTTGCAACGTGTGGTCTTAGTTTCCTCCTCTGCACCATAGGGGCAATCAAGGGCTGTTTGAGGATCAGTGTGATCATGGGTGTGAGGCACTTAGCACCCAGCTGGCTCAAGCTCTCACATGTTAGATATTAGTACTATTAATATAACATGCTGTCCCAGTGCTCGGCACGCAGGGAGTACTCGGAAAATATTACCTGTTCTTATGATGACAGGATTACACACGTAGCAATGACGACAGCATGTTCACCATCGTTATCATTACATATTGTTAAATGGTTAGCACGGGAACATAGCAAATGCCCAGTAATATTGGCCATTATTGTTGTTATTATCATTATTTAAATATACTTACACACAGATAGGCACATAGTAAATTCCCAAAACATATTAACCATTATTATTATTATTGTCTAAATGATTTGCCCAGGCATGGACACAAAGTAAATACCCAATACATTTTAATTATTATTAATAGTAGTATAGGACCTGACATATGGTCGGGATTCAAATTTTGGCCATTAAAATAACGCTAACAACAATAATACAGTATTTAGTACAGTCTTGTGCCTGTTAAAGCTAAATAATGTTAGCTGTTGAGATTATTGCTGATTATTATTATTATGTCATCAAAGTGTTTAGTTGGAGGCCAAGCATTTAACAAACACTCAATAAATGGTGGCTAATTAAAAAAACAGTGCTAACGATAGTAATAATAATATTAAGCACTCGGCTCACAGTACTTGGCA